TCAAGCCTTGATTTCTTTTTGTGGGGAGCCATCAAAAGTGTGGTGTATCATGATCCTGTTGTGTCTGAAATGGATCTCGTGGCAAGACTCGCCTGGGAAGCTGCTCCAGAAATCAGAGAAACTCCCGGTGTGTTTGAACATGTCCGACAATCAAAGGTCCGTCGGTGTCAGGCATGTTTGGCGTCTGATGATGCAAACTTCGACCATCTGTTGTAACATTCAAGCTGTCGTACACCATTTGTATGCGTGTCCAATAAATGTTTCAAATTAATCACTCTCTTGTTTCCTTTCCGATCTTCTACCTCTGCTACTACTTACCCCTGACATTTCCGAGCATGGTTTCCTATACAATTCTTAATCCTTATGATGTGCCTTACCTCCCCCAGAAGTTCGTCGCAACATTTACGGGACACCCTGTATATTATTCTGAAGTTTTTAAATTACTTTATAATATCATAATCATTTTCACGAAGACTGTGTATGATAAGCAATGCATGTTTTCGGGAAAATTGATCATGCTATTTTTTATTACTCACACCTGCATATGTATTTAAAGGAATTATGCCATTTTACATATGTAGAAACTATACTACATCTCATAAAATATGTTTGGGAAAATAGTATGAGTTTAGATACTATAGCTAGCATTTAATAATCATGTGGAACTCTTAAAATGCATTAATCTAAACTACAGTATGTAAACTTCAGATTATAATCTGCCTTTTAAAAGACGAGTTTGCTTTTAAGAACTTTAGACTTTAAAAGAATAAAAAAATGAACAGAATAATAATAAGTTTCTAATTTAATTTTAATAACTTTTAATTTAAATAGAATAATAACTTTAAAAGAATTAAGAGAAATTACTTTAAAAGAATTTTTTAAAACTTTAAAAGTTTTTAAATGCTTTTAAAATCGCTAATATAAAAATATTAAAAATAGAAAACTTCATAAAGAATTACAGCAATGTAAAATGAATCTGCACCGATTTCATAACCAGCCCTTAGAAACATTTTTTGTTAATTACTATAAAGTTGAAAATAGTTATAAAATATATGATAAGTACAATATATTTTAATTTACATTAATCAGAAACATTTTTAAAAATATGTAATAAAGATTCTTTAATTAATATTAAGTGCTTTCATTACCTTGAAGGGCTCAGTTTCTTCGTCAGTAGCAGACTGCATAAATTTGAAAGATAAATCGAAGGTATTTTGTTCGGGGAAACGGCAACACATGGTTTTTAAATCGCTAACTTTGTAATTCGGTAATAGATTCCTTAAATTTTAAAGATAATTTTAAAATTTTACAGTTTCCCGAATGGCAGTGTTTTGAGAATCTACTATGAGCAAAAATGCATTGAAGATAAATCCTGTAATGTTTAGTACTATGGCAAAACTTGGCACCAGTTGTTCTAGATCAATTCCATTATAGTACTTGACCGTCAGTTTCCGAGGTATGATCGTGTCTACAGATTTTATTTTGAATAGAGCGTTATTTTACACAGTAATGGGCAAAATACATTTCTTTAAAGGCATAAAAACAGCTTTATTTTTTTATTTCATTCTACATATTAAAACAAACTATATCCCTTAGTAAAACTAACCAGTATTTTTAAAGTAATCATTATCCGCATTATGCTTACTTTAAAGAAATATTACATTTTCAGTAACGCAGCATTTAATGGAGAAACCATCAAATCTCTCTTTATCAGTTTATCTTTCTTAAGAGCAAGCACTAAGGTACCATCCGTTACAGATAATGCATTTTTGATGGTAGAGTCTAGACTGCGAAGATAAACATTTTTCTTATTTTCACACGGAAAGGAATAACGGTAAAAACTTTAAGCGCTGAATTAAAAAAAAATATAAATATCTCATTCTTATTTGTCATTTAGATTAAAATTATGCCATTATTTTAAGCTTGAAATTAATAACTTAATGTTTTCAATGCGATTTTAATACTGAAGACGTGTCAAGTACAAATTTATGCAAAAATCAAACTTAGATTGGTATTACCGTTATAGACTTTATATCACTTTTCTACATCCTTGATGTCTTATATTTTCATCAGCTTAACAACACTCTTTTTGACTATATGATTTCAATACTTTAAGGAAAGTGACTTTAAAAGTAACTTTGGAAAGGTATTTATATGGTCATTTCATTATTTAATTTTACTACATTAAAAAGATTTAAATTGCCGGTATGCTCAGTTTCAGAGAAATTTAAATACGACCATTTATTCGTTGAAGTAGATCCATTAGGTTCAAATCTCGAGAAAAAATACCTGGTTCCTCATATGTAAAAAATGGGGAAGGGAGATTTACTTCTTTTATAACAAGGGTTCTCAACCTTTCTTGCCCCATGCATCCCTTTAATCATTGCTGCATTGCTAGACGATCATCCTTCTCTATTAACTTGAATATACATATTTATTTAAATTAAATTATTTTAATATGTTTTAAAAATTAAACGAGAAAAAGTATAGATAATTTTGATAAGTATTAAAATTTGAAAAAAAATATTTTTTTTACATTAACAAATTACAACTAATTACTTAAGAGGTAAGTAAACGGCTGACGGCATCCTACCCCTGAGATTATGTTTGCATCCAGGAACGAACTCCTTTTTTAGGACCTCAGTCAAGTCACAAAGACAAATAGACAAATAATTTTAATTATACGACAAATAATTTTGAATGAATTGCCATAGTCACTTATGTAAAACCCCTAAAACTTTAAAAATATTCTATAACTGTAGAATTTAAAATAAAACAGTTCATTGCCTATGTCAGCAAGTGCCAATTCTATTCAGCTTACCTTAGCCCTCTAACAGTGACCGAGCGGTTAGGACCGCTGAATGCTGGTATTTCAAACCCAGTCGAATAGGCTGGAAGGATGATTGGTTTTTCATTTTATCCCATTTGTAGCGTGAATATGCCTTAAATAATCCTCTACAAAGGAATTTTTCCTCTTAAAAATCTGAAGTGTTTTCCCATACTCAAATAACCTAACCTCTTCAGCTTAACATTAAGTAGCTCAATTATGATAAACCCTTTACAAATATCGCTCGTTAAAGATGAACTTAATAATAAGATGTGGAAGTTTATTAACTGTTAATCCATCATGGATTCTTATAATGACTTTTTTTATGCAGTTTTTTTTAATTCAGATTTATGGATTTATAAATATTGTGTTTACTAAAATTTCAAGAATGAGAGAACAAATTATTTTGGCGAAAACGCTGCTCTACAGAGTTCTGAACCAAACTGATCTCATATATCTTTTACACAACTTTTTCATAATTTTTTTTGATATTTTTATCTTCTAATACGTGTTCGAGAAAATTAGGAATTTGAGAAAAATTAGGGCGTTTCAATCTAAATTTCTTATCTGACAAAAATATCTGACTTAAAATAGCTAAATATTGCTAAATGTTAGTTTTGCTTGTATTCCGATTTTCTAAATGAAAATGAAGAAGAAATTTTCGAATTATTTATTTTTTTCCAAAATTTAGATCTGCTTTATTTGGCAGCTAAAGGTATCTACATTTTGGTTTTGGAAAATGTAGTAGATGCATTCTGGTTTCAATTATATCTCCAACTCTCATACTTCTGCAGTTAAAAAGTTCTAGTTCTCTAATTCCTCAACTGAAATATAAGCAAAGAGCATAAGCAAAGAGCTGTCGAGTTGTTTTGCCTTAATCAATCAACCTATCCTACTTCTCTATAGGATGGCCAAAGGAACTAGCTTACACGTCGAAGAATCTGAATACGAACCAGTGAAATGCAAAGACGTTTGTGACTATAATATATTTACGAAATAAGAGCACCTGAAATCTGTCAATTAAAAGCATCCTCTCAATAATTGTGTTGCATGGAAAGACGAATACAAGACTCGGATACTATTTTCTAGCATTTTCAAAACTCAATTTAAAGTATAATTGAATAAAGTCATCTGTAACCGTCCCAGGAGTGGTCGAAGAGTTAAGACCGGTGAATTCTGGAAGTTCGGCCAAGGTTCGATCCTAGTTGAACGGGCTAGCTGTATGGTTGGTATTTGCTGTTTTACCAATTCGTAACGTGATTATAATTACATCGGTAAAACGTTTAAAACAAGAAGTCCTTTCACAGCCAGGTACTCTTACCAGCAAACTGGCTGAAACAATAACCAATTACGTATAATTTTCATTTGATCAATAGGTAAGTTATTGAACTTAATTAAATGCTCTGACCATATAATACGATCATGTGCGCTCTCTCTAACTATGAATAGAGCCTTCTTTTGAATTGACAGCGTTAAGTGATGGGTATGCCAATGAGATTAGTGTCATCCTTGTTTAATAATGATCATTTCTAGCAATGTTCTTTGCCAGCAATTTGTTAAATACCATTTCATTATTATAATCTGCTGCATTACAGGAAATGCGCATGAAATCCCGACAGTTAAATAAAAAACATATGATGGTTAATTTACGTTTACTTAAGACATAAACGAAGAGGTGTTCTAGACAAGTGAAAGTTCATAAGACATATATGAAAACATATGATCGTCACAGGTCCACGTAGATAATTCTTGTACTACAGGAAAACAGATGATAAATCGTTCACAACGATGACTTTCCACTGATAATAACGTGGTAAGTAAATGTATTGATATTTTCGTCGCAATTACGTCAGCCTTTTACATCCAGCCCTAGCCAGGCTTCCCTTCCTACTGAAAATTAAATACACGTTTACTAAGTCTGTTTCTCTGCACTGTACGGGCTTAAAGGAATGGAAATTTCCAACGTTATTATTAATTTATTCGTTCACTTGTAAAACACAACTTTTGGGGAAATAAAGAACTTAATTCTTTTTATTTTGAAGTTTGATATTTGATCATGATTAATAATAATAAAAATTAATCATTAATTCTTTATTTTCGTGTCTGCAAAGTGCTCTATAACTAGTATTAATTAATTAAATTTCCTATAAACTATTTATGTTTATATTTTCAGCTTGTTGTAGGTTTCCTTGTAATGTTCACCGTGATGGGCATCGTGGACACTAAAAATTTGAAAATACCAAAGTTTTTGTACCCACTCTTCATAGGCTTCGTAATTCAAGCAACCGCCCAAAGTTTCTGTATGAATTGCATGGCACCTTTAAATCCAGCCCGAGATTTTCCTACACGTGTATTTACAGCAATAGCTGGCTGGGGTAAAGAAACATTTAGGTAAATTGTGACTAGTGTTTAAAATTTTATTAGTTTTAAAGAATTTTGTATGTTTTCTAGAGATTGCTTCATGTTTTGAATTGTTCCAAAATAAGGTATGTATAAGATATATAATACTTTATACGAGAGATGATAAGTATTTTGGTATCCTATAAAAACGCATGTAATTACTATATAATAGTACATTATAACAGCTTTCATCTAAGTACTGTTTTACATTTTTTCAAATAATTCTATTCACATACTTAAAGCATTTGAAGAAAAGCTAGAAATTTTCCTGATTTCTGCAATTTCAATTTGTTTCTTGAATTCTCGGTATGAGTTGAGATGCAGAACTTCCACGAATCATTTTTCCTACAACAAAATGAACATGATCTATTGATTGCTAATGGGCTGTAGCCTTAATTCTAAGATCCCTCAACTGGAGATTTAAGTGAGTTATTACAGAACAGCCACAATGGGCATTTATCATCTCTTACAGCTCTCTTTGGAAAACTGTATAATTTTTGTAATTTACAGAAGAACAGCATGGAAAACCCGCGCAGCGAAATCCAATGCAATCAAAAAAAAAAAAAAAAAAAAAAAAAAAAAAAAAACCTGTGCAGTTACCTGACAGCTGAAGTAAGTTGATAAAATAGAAGTTCTGACTCATGTACTTATCTCTATTAGGCTTTTGCTGGATCTTAACTAATTTGTAAATATTAGTGCATGGTTCTGAAAGATAAAGTAAGCGTCGGTTGATATTTTTTAAAATAGTATAATAATATAAAACTGATAGTTGAAGAACTAGTTATAGCAAAAATAATACGCCGAAGAACAAATGTTCAAGATTAGTTTATGAATCAACAAAATTATTCACTAACACGTTATTTATGAAAAAATTAAATTTTTTTTATAATTTTATCATTTAAAAACTTTTTTTATTTAAAAAAAAAAAACGCTTTTTACATGTCTATTTGCTATGTATTTTGGGCATGACTGTGGAAAAATATTGTATGTATTTTAAGAAATAACGCTGAATGAAGGTAAAATAATCATTTCCTTTTCTAATAAACCTAAATATATCCTGGAAACTATATTGTAAATCTATGTATTTTTGGCATGACATGTGGAAAAATATTGTATGTATTTAAGAAATAAACTCTGAAATGAAGGTAAAATAATCATTTCTTTTTTCTAATAAACTAAACTGGAAATAATATCCTAAAATAAATATATAAACTAGGGAAACTAGAACAAATATTCAATAACTAACTATAAAAGATTCAAATTTTTACTACACTTCATTCTGTATAAATGAAAAGTCATAGCTAAGCAATTTTTACAACTTTGTTAAAAATATTCCTACAATTATAACATTTAAAAGTCTGAGTGTGAATTACGAAAAATAATATTTTAACATGATTTATGCGAAATTTTAAGCATAAATTTAACATAATAAAAACTTTTCTTAATCCTCATCAAGAAAATTTGGCATCTCCACTGCATTTATAATTCTTTCATATCTTCTTATTGTTTATGGAGTAATTATTTGCGTAACTTAAATACGTTAATGAACGATTTATCTTTCCTCTGCAGTTAATTGTAACTCAGTAGAATTTAAAAGTATAAAATTTAGGTAAATATACTCGTTTTATTCTAAATTATGAGCACAACAATGTTTAGCTAATTCTGCAATTTATTGCACACATTATTTACTGCTCATTTGCTTTAACTAATTAACGTATTCTGAATTACATTATGAATGCATAACGTACAGAAGGCACCAGCCATTGGAAAACGTTTTATGGAAGTCTGGCATACATTAGACTGGTATTTCGAACCTTGGTTCGATTTCAGACAAATGGGCTGGCTACATGCGCATTTTCATAGTTTTTTTTTCATGTGTAAAGTGGATACGAGCCATTTTCCGTTAGATAGTCCTTCACGAAGGTCCTCCTTTTCCTAGGCAAATAGTCCTAGCGTGCTTTGCCATTATGAAATAAATCAAACTAAACCAAACCTAGCATGCATATTAGCGTTTGATCTGACTACGTAAAAAAAAGCTTTTATGCAAAGGAATTTGTCACGGATCTTATGAATTGCATGTATTTTTTGCATAATACTATCTTCAATCAGAATTAGCGATTTTATTTCGCACGTGTCAGATTAAATGGGTTTTCTCTAAAAGAACATTTCTTTATTTCCGTTGCATCTTGGCAATTTGTCGACGTTCTGAAACGTCATGATACTCGTATGACCGCTTTTAGACGTGGTCGTTTTAGAGTTTTTTGTAGTTCATCAGCATTATTTTTAGAATGAAAAGAGACTAAATCTACCCTTTCAAGAATCTGAAGTCCGCATAAGATTTACTTTGTAATGTTTCATTACTTTATTTCATCTAAATATATTAACTTAAGGTAGATTCATCTAATGAAATGTGAATTTAATATAAATACTTTTGATTTATTAAATTTAATTAGTACTAAAAATACGTACTAAATAATTGTTTAATATTTTGTTAAAATAATTAATACTTAAAATAGTTTTTATAAATTTATATCAAATATTTAAAAATAAACTAATCTATAGTAAGTTATTACGTTATGCATTTTATATACTAAAAAATTCATATTTCCGAAATCAATGCAAATCATGGGTTAGCAACTATTTCACTACTGAAATATGACTTTATTTCTTATTTTTGAAGTAAGGACGAATTCACAGCTGTCCAATATACATGTATATGGCGGAAGGTTGGTGTTGGTATATTTAATTATGGCAAAGCACACGAGGGCTATCTGCCTAAGGGGAGGGATGCCTTTCGTGGAGGACTTTCTAAGGGAAACTGGCTCGTATGCAGGTTACACATGGGGAAAACCACGAAAAGACCCATGCAGCCGGCCCGTTCGCGGGATTCGAACCTCGGACCGAACTACCAGTGTTCAGCGACTTTACCGCTCGGCCGCTGGTGGGCCTATATGGCGGAAGGAGAAGCAGATCTGTACATTATTTACTGGATGCTTATATAACGAAAATCTTGAGATTTGCGCGTTTGGCTAGCTGCCAAATTCGAACAACTGCGCAATTAATTCAGATTCCAGCAGTTCTTTCAAGTCATTGGGTAAAGATGCCATCTGTAAGGCGTTTGAAAAGACTTACTTCATGTTTGAAATTGAATCAAGCAATGGCTGATATAAATAATATTGCTTATATTAAAAGTAAATGTAATGAACTGTCAATCAAAGAACGCATTGTGAATCTTCTCATTGTTCTGTATCTATTTACTTCAACTGCCTTTAGCGAGTGAAATTATCGTCAGAATGCTGAATTTGTACTTATTTTGTGTGTGAATATCTGCTATCGTATAGTGTTCGTGAAATAGTGTCTCTGTGGTCTATAGTGATCTGTGGAATATAGTGTTCGTGAAATAATGTTTCTGTGGTTTGTGAAATTGTGTCTCTGTAGAAATAGTATCTGTCTCCAATCGCTGTGGTTCCAGCAGTGCAATATTTGGATAAACTTACTAGATTTGTGCTTCGGTTTTAACGTTATAAGTGGTATATCGCATATCATTCTTATTAATCGATTACTGTGTTCATATTAAAAAGTTGGCTTTCAGAATTAATTCATATAAAACCAAAAATAACATACAACGGTAAGCCACTTTCTGGTTTTGCTTAAAATGAAATCAATACTAAAGCAACAACAATTCAAGCTGTTATAGTATGTTCATTATTTTTAATTTACAAAGAAATTATTGGACTAGAACCAGTACTTAATGTGACTGCTGAAGATGAATCAGATATATGTATATAAGCAATTAATTAATTATTAAAATTAATAGTAATGCACATTCTATAGTATATTGTCTTTTATACAGTATGCAGAAAAGGTTAATGATTTTAAACAGTGTATGAACTGTATGATAGAAAAGATAGTGTTAAAGAAACATTAGCATTTCTATAAAATATTGTAATCTATAATTGTGTTATATTTAATTGTTGTAACATTAAAAACACTAAATATTTTTTATTGATTGCAAATTGCATTTTATTACTTTTCGTTTGGTATCTATTTCTTCCAAACACTGTGTAATTCGCGTTTTTTTAAATATTGCCGTTATGTCTGTTTATTAGATTATCTGAATAAATGAATGTTGGAAATTAGATTTTACTTTTTATTAAATTTAAGTATATTCTATTTTCTTTACTTTCTTTTTACGTGCTTGTGATAACAAAGAAATTCATAATAAATATAAGCAGAAAGTTTCATCGTGTGCTATTTAACGAAGAGCTTGCTTTAACGTACTTAGCTTACTATCGTATACTATGTTATTTCAATTATTTCTGTACAGTAACAAAAAGGAAAGTTATTGATTATAAAAAGTGCATGAAATAATCATTGTAATCTACCATTATTCTAAAATGTAGAAACTAAAAATAAGTAAATACATTAACATATGATCGAAAGAAATGGTGTTAAGAATCATCAGCATTACTAGTAAATACTACAATCCATAATTATTGCACTTTTAATTGCTTACTATTTAAACAACACATTTTTTTTTATTAATTGGTAATTTTATTTCTGTTACCTCCCTTCTGTTATTTACTTTCAAACACTACCAGTTCATGTTTTTTCTTAAATAGTGCTGTCATGTATGTTGTTTGTTAGGTTATTATTTCATTTTAGATATGAATATGGGAAGTTATTAGATTTAGGTATATTTTTATCACATTTATTAACTACATTATACTGTCTTTCATTTGCATATCTTGAAGATATAGAAGTTAATGGTTATATTTTTTACTGTGAAACGCGGATAAATTTATTTCTTCTTGATTTCAGGTAAAATACTAATTATGTTACCTTAAGAACTGCTTCCTAAGATCTCAGGACAAGGGCAATTTTTAATGTCTCTGAGATTTAACAGAAATAAATGTGATAATGCTGTTATCAGAAACGCTCTTTATTTTACCCACATATATATCTTAACTTTTATTTATGTCTAATTGAATTTTACTTGCTTAAAAGCTACTATTAATGTTACATATTTATAATAACCACTTTCATAATTACTCTCATTTAAGGAAAAAAATGATGAAATCTTAAATAATCGTAACTTAGAATTTAAGTTATTTAAAAAATATAGTTTAAAGTACTAGAAATAATTAAAGCTGTTATTAATTATGCATATTTATTCTAAAGAGAAAAAATTGTATTATCTTCTGGTTTTCAGGAAATGATAAAATATTTAAACTTTACAAAAATACAAGGAATACAAAAATTTAAAAAGAAGAAAAATATATTAAGCTTATTTTTCTGCATTAATCAATATGTAACACAAAGACATAATAACGACATTTTCACAACTGTTGCCAAAAGGTGTAATTTTGGGAACATTTAGGCGTCTTTAAGACGTCATGATACGATGCTTTCACAACCAAAATATCACCTGCTAAAGACGCAATGACGATGTCTATGCGACAAGAACCTCATCTGCAAAGACGTAATAAAGACGTCTTTGCAACGGTTGAAAAACAGTGTAGTTTCGCGGACATCTGGGCGTCTTAAAGACGACATATCGCAACGACATTCGCGACGAGTTTGCAGCGCCGTTACGACGTTGCTGTGCTACTTGAAAAAATAGAATATATAAACATTATTAAATCACCCGTTAAAAATAAATTGCTAAATCTTAAAAACAAACAATGTTCAGTACTAATAAATTTCTGTTCCCCACTCATTCCTATCTAATATAGTAATATAGAGAAAAACTGTTCTTCGTATTTTGATGCGCGTTCTTGTTTTCACTACTTAATTAATTTATTTAACTAAATAATTTTATTCTCTAAATCAGATTGCTTAAACGTACAAATCAGTCGTTAACATATTTTTATTTTAATTACAACACTGATTATTCTTCTTTCTTGTGTTAAAGAAAAGCACAGAAAATTAATCAAACTTCTGTTGGATTAATTGTAATCTTTTATTAACCGTGGATGTCATCTCCAGTACTATCCAGTTAACTGGGAGTCTACGGTAATTTACTGCATGCATATGTTAATGCTATAATTTTAGATGAAATTAATCTAGTTCTATTTTTTCTGTCTTCTAAGAATTTTTAATCCATATTAGTAATAATGTATATATAACTATCTCAGAGATTTTCTACGTTAAATAATGAATATGTTAACTCCTTCAGTTTGTTTTGACTCATGTGTGTGCATTATTTTTACAGCATACGAAGCTATGGATATTGGTGGATTGGTCTCATCGGACCTCACATTGGATGCATAATTGGAGCTTGGTTTTACTATCTAGCTATTGAATTACACTGGCCTGAAGACAAATCTCTAGAAGATAACGACATCCCCTTGCGCGATGAAGAATCAAGTAAGATGCAACGAAAAGACACTTGGTTTTAATTTTGAAAAATTAATATATATATGGAATTGTTTTACAACAGATGATTTATAATAACCTTCAATTTTTTAATTCGTTTATAGCATCTAAGTACTATTGCAAACTACATGAATTCTTAATTTAGAAGTCAAACAACAAAAAATCAGCGTTATATTTTAAAATATAACGCTGATTCAACGTTTATAATTTCAAATATTATATTCAGTGTTATAATTTAAAATATAACGCTAATTTTTGTTGTTTGACTTCTAAATTAATACTTGTTCGGCGTGTTACTGTATCTTAATTACATGAATTCTTGCCCCTCAACGTAACCTAAACGCTATGAACTTAACAAAATGGTTAAAGCACAACGACAAATAGATAAATGTTAACTTAATTTTATTCTACCTTACCACCTGAGAGAGACGAATTAAAGTATTACGAAAGAAAATTACTAATCTCGGGGACTTAAAAATACAAAGTTGGAACTTCATTTCTCTGCCGAGTACAGGAGTCTCTTGAATATAATTAAGCACTTATGTATGAAGGATACGATGCTCTGGTTGCACATAACTAAAATCAAGCCTTAACTTACCACCAAACGTCTTGATATTCTAATTTCTTCTCAAGCAGAGGCATTTCGCTAATAGTCAAGCGCGACGGGCGTTTAGCCCCAACGCTGATCTAGTGCACTTATACTCGTATGAGTACAAATTCTTTCTTTCTTTAACATTATGCTAAACTACTTGCCAATCAGATGCGCATAAATTTCTAGAATGAGTACATGACAAATGAGATATAAGAGAAAGCTACAAATTAAAATTTAATCTGATTAGTTAAACTCAACTAAAATGCCACACTTTTAATAATAAATCATGCTTTTTCTCTTATATTTAGCAACTTGTAAATAATAAAAACAATTTAATTCCTTTTTTACTTTAAATGAATATTATTTTGTATTAACAGATTACAGAACTGAAAATAAATATTATAAACGACAGGGGTTTTCTTTAATTTTAAATTTAAATAAATTCATAAATCATTGATTTCATGTACGAAAATGTGTATCTTCAATACATTTTCAACAATTTTCAGATTTCTGAAATTAGATGGCTAGAACAACTTACTTTAAACTTTATTTCTATCAGCATAATAAATTTATTTAAAACTGAAGATTGTCTTAACATACTTTTTTGCGAATTTAACGAAAAATCATACAACAAAAACCAGTGGGTTTGACAGCTTGGCTAATCCACAGCAACAGTTTCTACATTACATTCTGACGTTTCCCATAAACCAAAAATGTTCCAAACTTGACTTTTCTTTTTTCTTTTTCATTCTTCTTCTTGATTCAACTTCTTTATATATAATGCAAAATACACTGAAAGTATTTTGAAGTTACTAAAAGGGAGATTTTGACCCTGGCCTTTAAAAATAAAATGAAGCATAATGTATAAGTATATAAAAACGTATAAGTATGAATTCTTCTTTTTTTCACATTCAATTTCATGCTAATTCATTGAGATGATATGTTGTCGTGTCACCAGAAATGAGTTATTCTACTGAGGTCTTTCAGGTGTGACGCGCTGAATTCTCTTCACTTTATAAAATACAGCATTTACCTCACATCCCCTAAAAAATAAAGTTTCTGTGATATATACTTTTCCAGTCAAAACAAGATTCACCAGCTTCGAGATTTTTCAAACCGAAGTTTCTGTGGAACATGTTTAATTGATAAAAGTAAACGGTTAACTGTATCGAAAATTTTATCCGTAAACAGACAGTATTTCTGAATAAGCAAATTGAAGTGTCAAAGTAATAAATACTGTGCGTTTTGTAGGTTTGCTGAAATGTGTTAAAAGTTATGAGCCCTGTATATACAATTAAGAACAAAGTTTAAATTTTTGTTATGTTGAAATAATTATTTAGGAGCATTTATTTCCTAGTTATTCTAATAATTAATGCTTATTCTTTTTTTTTCAGAGAGAAAGACTTGACGTTATTCAAGCTTCAAAATCAAGCTACCTTTTTTGTTTGAATTTAAAATCTTTTTTTGGTGTATTTTTAATTGCTAGAAAAGGGAAAAGTTTCCTTTTTGAAAATAAAAGAATTAAAAGAAATCATTGCCAGTATATCAAATGCATTTTCAGTAAATGTTTACATAAATATTGAGATTGTCATATGTCAAAATTAGTTGTGAAATGCGTATATTTGTATTGACTCATCTCATAAATAAATTTTTGAGTGAATGCGAGTGTTTTTTCAACAATAACCAATGAAAAAGAAAAAAGTCACAAATGTTTAATTTTTTATAAAATCTGAATATTCTGCCTATTTGGTCTTTTGATATAATGGACATCACATTGAGCGAATAATTAAAAGAAGCCAAGTTCGATTCTGAGCAGAAGGGGTGCCAATGTTTATATCTCATTCGTACCTTTTTCAATCTCAGACATTTAATATATATTAACTAAAGAAGCCAAACAAGAAACAATTTAGAACGTATTATTTTAAGATGTTTTTCGTTGTTGTTTTGTTTTGTTTTCCCTTCTTTTCCAACAATATAAGAATTAAATATGGGAATGAAATTTAAAGGCTAGCAACTAAACTGCAACATCAGTTTTAATGTTCATAAATACATAGTATAAATAAAGTATCTTGCTGATGTTAATATTTTACTGAATTACGTTAAAATATGTTAGAAATATAACAAAAGGAGTAAAAAAAAAAAAAAAAAAAAAAAAAAACCGCTGTCTCTCTATGGCCAATTTTAGGAAATATACTGTATTTTCTCCCATCCAGTGCTTTTAGAAAAGAGTAAGAATATTTTTAAAGCTCTAAATGCAAAAAATAAACTCCCGTTGTTGAGATTTTCTTTTGCGAATTGATCAAACGGCCGAATAGTTGTTTCTCCCAGTCTTCTTTATCTAATATACCATGCAGAGCGACCCTTGACAGAAATTGAACTGTAGAATTTTCATTACGTAGATGGACGCTCTAACCGTTAAACGTAAAAGACACCTACAAGTGGAGATTTTAAGAATGTTACTTCGAAATTTCCCTCTAAAATCTCCTAATTTCAGTTGATATCAAAGCTAGTACACCCTAAATTTATCATAATATTAATTTAGTAATAAATTCATTTTCAGCAGTAACGAGAAAATTAAAATCAAATATGGAATAAATACAGTAGTAAATAATAAATTATTTACTACTTGAATAATTGGGGTAAAATCGTCTGTTAACTAAAAAATCGCGGCTAATCTGACATCAGCTAAAAGGTGTCTCCCGTTAACCGAAAATCACGGTTAATCGGACATCAGTTAAAAAATTGGAGGCGACAGGATTAAAATCTGCATTAAAATTAACAGAAAACACAAATCGTATTAATAATTTCTCTACTCTTATATGCGCCGCCCACCAGCGGCCGAGCGGTAAAGTCGCTGAACACTGGTAGTTCGGTCGAGGTTCGAATCCCGCGAACGGGCTGGCTGCATGGGCGTTTTCATGGTTTTCCCCATGTGTAACGTGTATCGCCCTCGAGGCTTTGCCATAATCATACACACACTTATATGCGCCCTAATTTCACCAAATGTGGCGATATGCGTTCTGCGCTGGTTTTTGGCGCGATTGCGTGTTGTATGGGAACCCTGTCGAAATTGAAAAATCTTTTGCTGGAGGCAAGGTGGTGGCAAGATTTCAGTCGCGTATTTTAGATTGTGTGAAAAGTAAATTTAGTATTAGAAAGTATGATATTGGAGTTGTTAACGAGTCTTTTGTTCACGGGAGTATTTATGAGGATTGAAGTGTACTTTTGGAATTTCTGCGGGACTTTTAAAATGGAGTCCGAAGTGCGGAGCTGCTATGAGAACTCGGACGAAGAAGGGCGTTTCTGATAGTTCTTGTACGGATTTGCAGTCAAATGGTTGCTGATAAAGTATGTGGCTGTCAGCGGAGTTTAAAATTTGAATTGTGGTTTTGCTGTAGTAAGTTAACTTTGGAGGAAGTTTTTATCGTTACTTCCGAAATTTTGAATCTCAGAAAGACATGTGATATAACCAAATCGTGGCACTTTTGTTCAGAGACGTTGTGTGACTGGCGAAATTTTATTTAGGAATGTTTTATGGTAAGTGCATTTTATTTTACTGTTTTTATTTTGTAGAATGTTATGTGTTATGTTCATTGTTTTTTACTATGAATTTTTGTTGTTATTGTTATTTTTTGAATTGTTTGTAATTTAGTTTAGTTTATTTGGTTGGGTTGTGCGCAATGCCTAGATTGTGCAATTCGTAGATTTTTTTTTTAAGTTCAAACAGAATGCTGTGTACATGGTATTCTTTAAAATTTATTGTTGTTATGTTAATTTATTGAAGCGAGGTGTGCGAAGTTCGTAGATTCCTTCGCTGCCTAGAATATGCAAATCGTAGATGTCTTTTGAAATTTAAACATTTCGCTGTGTACATGGATTTTTGTCAAATATTTTTGGTTAGAATCTTTACGTTTTAGGTGTCTAAATTTTTGTTTTTGTTTCAGATTTTTAGCTTAAATTGTGTCTTCAAAACTTGGTTTTTGCATGTGCGAAAACCGCATTTTTGGAGACATTTTAGGCTTAAAATTCTAAATGTACACAAAAAATTTAGGTAGTAATATTGCGGCGTGGAGTTTCTCGCCAAAAATGTTTGGCGAGAAATTTGGCGACCTGAGGGCGCATATAAGAGTAGTTCCTAATTTATTTATATTTTTAAGCAGTTTTATTTGAGAAATAAGCTCATTTAATTATGTAAACTAAATCAGTATTCTAAACAAGAAGAAACAAAATGCAATGTTTTTATTTACATTACTCTGGAATTTCGATAGGAGTAAGGAAAAAAAGGAAATTAATAGCAATAAAATCAACCTGTTTTCATGATTAAGCAATTAAATTTTAACGAATGATGTAACAATTTTTGTGTTCCATATTATCTGTAATTATAAATAAAATTGCTGCAAATAAAAATCGGTCCTAAATAATGCCCAATCAACTATTATTACTGTCGTTGTCTTATGCATTTTCTTCTCCTTTTTGCATTTCGCGAATTTTGCCTTAATGTGACGATTTGCAATACTAACTTAACATTCTTAGCATACTTAACATTTTTAACTTAGCAAATTTAACAACAAGAGGAACAAAGTTTGGTTACTCTGCAATCCGGTTATTCCACCCTCCGATCTTTCCCAAAAGCTTTTATCGAAATCAAAAAGTAATCGAAATAAGAGCATTGCTCTTTTCTTCTTCTTGTTATGAATACATAACCTAATGAACTTAGTTTCCGCGAATATAAGGCTGAATGTTAATACGACGTTTTGTTAATCTTCATCGATTTACGGCCTACCAGCGGCCGAGCGGTAAAGACGCTGAGCACTGTTAGTTCGGTCCGAGGTTCGAATCCCGCGAACGGGCTGTCTGCATGGGCGTTTTCGTAGTTTTTTCCATGTGCAACGTGTATACGAGCCAGTTCTTCTTATAAAGGCCTCCACAAAGGCATCCCTCCCTTTAGGCATATAGCCCTCGTGTGCTTTGCCATAACTGAATAATCCAATCCAATCACCGATTTACTGCGAGTGGTATTCAGGCGATCCCGCCTTAAGTCGGTTGACATAAATTTGGTTAGGTTTATTTGATTATGGCAAATCCCTCAATGTCATCATGGAGGAAGTTCGCATGGAAACTGGCTCGTATACACGTTGCACATGGCGAAAGCTCTCATGCATTCATCCTGTTCGCTGGAATTCGAACCCCCGACCGAACTACCAGCGTTCAGCGACTTACCGCTCGGCCGTTAGTGGGTGATTCATATAAGTAGAACACTTATTTTATCCTTAATTTTTTTCATAATAATTTTATACATTTTTCTTTTGTTTAACATAAAAGAGTTTAAGAACGCATCAGTTTTAGTAATATTTATAAGCAATTTGTTTGCATACATACTCAAAAGCACTATATATGTTCTAAACTACTAACATACCTCTTCCTTCAAATAAGCTAATGTGAATAAAACATGAAAACATATATATAAATCTTTAATTAAAAATTATAGGTTAGTAGAGTCTCACTCTTTTTGGTAACATACACCAAGTAACCTCATTCCACTTTTGAGCTAAGCGAATTATCGCTGCATCTAGAATACAAACAGAAACGTGAGCAGCGTGTAAAAGACCCCTTTATTAAGAACTGGGAAATAGTTGAACAGAAGACACTCCATAACAAAAGGGATTACAAAACCAGCCAGCATTTATGGCGTAACTTAAAAGTAAGAAATTCAAATTTAAATTTTAAAGTTAGCTAAAGGCTACATAGAAATATTTAATACACAGGTTGGCTTCAAACCTAAACCAGAATGACAGCACTATTGACAAGATTTAAAGCAACGCCGTAGAAAGAATGCTATCCTACAATTTCAACAAGTAACGTGGCCTTCAGTTGGCGGAACACGTTCTAATTAAACAGTCTAAAACATCTCTTTAAATACTATCTCTTCCTACTTAATTTAAATACGCGTGAGCTAAAATTTACATTTTGGAAGGAAAACGGAAAGGAAGAAATAACACTATAGATTCTTAACATAAAATAGCTCATTAATTCAAATAAATACCTTACAGGTTAATTAGATGAGAAATTGTTACTTATTTGGATGACTAATAGCAACTAGGAATAATTTATTTAACCAACAATTCAGCTAATATTTACCCTTTTATATTTCACTATAACTTCTGAATATTCGAATTTGCTTTGCAACTTTGACGAAATGAACACAATTTTTATTCCTATTTTCATCCACTTTATTAAGTTCACTCACTCATTTTTGTAGGTGCAATATTATTTCAATTGTCACGCTGCTATTAGAGTGCAAAAATAATTCGTACATGTATATACTGATGGTAAACTTAAATGAAAGAATTATAAGTCTTACATTTTAGCCATCGCAAAAGTTAGTCGTCATCAACTGGGACATCGTCAGTCAGTTTTGTAGGATTAATTGTGATTTGAGTTTAATCACGGACTTCATCACCAATATTAACTCAGTTAAACAGGAGCCTACTCTACCTTTAAAAATTTGCCGATATCATTTGCATTCATTTTCTCCTTACACGCCATATCCAGATGGTCAAATAGGACATTCAATAGCTTTTGCTTTCTAAATAAATGCAAAGAATCAGTCTAATAATGCACTCCGCATCAAATTTATCTTTAAAGCAGCCCATACTATTT